TGTGTGTGTGTGTGTGTGTGTGTGTGTGTGTGTGTGTGTACACACTAGTTTCCCCGTTAGTTTGTGAAAGCATATTATTTCTTACTGGCAGCCCTTTCTTTTTTTCTAGATTTCATGATCCTGTAGCAGGGCATTTGCTTTCAAGAGCAGTTAGAAACAGGACAGTCACCGAACCTAAAGGCAAACAAACAAAACCCAGGCCGTGAAGTGAGGCTAGAGTCTTCACCCCTTACCTCCCAACCAGGTGTGAGAGGCAATCAAAAGTGCCTCCTGGGTTCCAGGCCCATCCACACCAAGCCTACAACTGTGGCAAGGCCAGTGTTACACGGAAGAAACAGAGCTCCATAATGCACATTGCCTGCCTGTGTCACACGGCTGCTAAATGGCAGTGCCAGGAGGAAGGCCCAGGTCTGCCAGGCTCTTCTCACTACAGTACAAACTGCCTGAGCTGAAGGGGCAAGAAGCTCCATTTCTGTAAGTGAGGAGCTGGGGTTTCCATGACAACAGAAGATGTAGGCAAGGAAACGAGACCCTGGGTTAACACAGAAGGCAGCTAGAGCCCCCACCTTCTCTGCCCGTTCCAAGGGCAAGGAGGAAGGAGCTGGAACCGGTGGGAAGCAGCCTGGCACTGTCCACACTCTTCAGGTCCCTGCGCCTGGAGGGCCCGACCGCAGGAGGGGACCACAGGCAGCTGTGTTGATGCTGCTGAGAGAGGGGTCATGACCTGGAGGTTTGTTTGAAAACCTGCATAAACATCTTCTATCAGAGGGAGAGTTTATGCTCCTTAGTCAAACAAGTTGTTGGAGATGATGTATTGTGAATGGATTTGTTAAGTCTGAGCTGGGGCCATAAACTCTCCCCGAACCCCAAAGACCACTGGGGAGAAGGCTCGTCTCCAGTCAGTCTTGGTGAGTGTCTTCTCCCTGGGCTGGCCGTAACTAAAAGAAGCCGGCTCTTCCCAAAGGCTGGCCCTGCCACACCCCAAGCCAGGAGTTCTCTTAGCTTTTAGCCAGGNNGCCCATTCCTCTACCTTCCCCTGATCTGAGCTCAAATACAAGATGACTTTTCCCCCCTGGCCTGGAACCAGAGCCCACACACATGTCTGCACTGAGAGAGAAAAGGAGAGGTGGGGTGGGAGGCAGAGGGTGGGAAAGAACGCTCCTCCCCCGGCCACTCCCTTGCTTTGAATGAATGGCAACTCATACTTTTGGTTGCTTGGACTGAAGTCCTGTCACACCCCAGACCATATATCAGAAATTGTGCTAGTTCTGCCTACAGAGGACATCCAGAACCTGACCATCCTCTCCACCTCCAATGTGCCCACCTCCTGCAGCAGCGAAGTCAGGCCATGCGCTCCTGGGCTCGGATTCACAGAGGAAAAGCCATAGGCCTCCCACCTCTGGCAAAGCCCTGCCCTTCCCCACCACCTCTCTGCTCCAGCTGCTGGCCTCAAACAAGTAGCCTGCCACC